CCCCCACACCCCGCCAGCGGCCAGGAGCCCACCCCCAACCGACCACCCCCCAGGCCCCAGCAGCCACCCCAGCCAGCGGGCCATTCTTTCAGTTTAATGACGGCATGAGACAAGGAAATACACAGACGGAGACAAATCACATTTGGAAATTCATCCGTATATTATTTAAAATGAGGTTCAGAGGGAAATATATGCATTACAAGTCATTTCTCAGACAAAACACACTTTATAATCAGTTCCGTAAAATTGATCAAGAAGTGACATAATTAATCTGGCATGATTACCATGTGAACGACTTCCTACACATATTTCAGTGAGACACTACTCGCTATTCCTAAGCCTACAGCTAACAAAGAGGGAGCTCAAGGGAAGAAGAATGAACATTGATATACTCTGATCTGATTTAAATCTTTGAACACACCATCAGATTAATTGAGCAAGATGTTTCCTACCGACAAAGTTTGTAGATGCCAGAATGGATACTTCTATGCTAATTGGGCTGGCACGTGAAGTCCAACCGAGTCTGTGACTTAGCTGTGCAGAAGCTCCCTGGTCATCTGGATTGCCGGTTTGCATTCACTGGAGAATGTTGTCCAGCACACCACGGCGGCTGCATTCCTTGCGAGCACACTGGTGGTCGTCCGACTTCAATTAAATCAGCCTCATCGTTTCAATCAATCTCCTTCTCCTTCTTGAGAAGCTCCATCAGAACAAACTACAAAAAGGAAATAAAGTTGGAAAAAAGAATGGCCTTGCCCCGGGATGGGGGAAGCTGGAGCTGAAAGCTACTCTCTCCTCAAAATACTTCTTACAGCTCAACACATGGCAGAACAATGAAAAAACTCCTTGTTCACAACGGAACTTCTCATTGGTTAAGACTTTCTGCGGTGGTCACATGACCTATCAGGACATGTAACAGAAGAGATGCTTTTTATAGTTATAAACGGAAAACATGGGTGAAAAATAAAATACTTTCAGGGTTAATAGATAAAATGTCCACAGTGTGGCGTTGCTGACCCACAGATAAATCTGATGGGAGTCTTTTGATGTGTTTGTCTCTTCTTGTTTAACATCAGGGGCCCTTTGATGTCAAACAATGTTTATTCCAGTCTTATTCTGAAAGAGGTGATAAACAAATTAACTGGCGACAGGAAGTCTAGTCTTTGTTCTAAGGCCTAAGGGAGAAGTATCAGATGAGGTAACAGGAGAAGTCATTATTCAAACTTTGAGACGTTGCAGGCAGGATGAAAAAGGTGGAGTTACCAGGAACAAAAGTTTGACTGTCTCTTGTCGAGAAGATATTCACTTTTCCGCTACAGATCCAATATATTTAAAAATATCAGTTTAAAATGTTTTGGGGGAAAATTTCCAGTAATAGAAAATGATTTTAGGCAAATCCTGTGCAGTTGCAGTTTTAGTCAGTAAAAGTTAGGTAGCAACATTAAACATGGTTGTTTTAAAGACTGCCTGGGCATGATAACTCCTTTTGTTCTTGTTTTATAGACCGTCAAAGGAGGCTACTCAGAGACCAGGATAGAAAAAAGAATCATAATCACAGGAGATGATGATGTGGATCAGAATCAGGTGAGACACAGTCCCAAACACTATTTGGGTGAGGATTTAAATAATCAAAATGTTTAGTTTTTGACCTGCATGTTGGCGTTTCATGACCTCAGGCACTCGCCATGGCGATCCAGGAGGCTAAACAGCAGCATCCAGACATGCTGGTGACAAAAGCAGTGGTTATCAGGGAAACAGAGTCTCCCACTGAGGAGCTGCCTCAGAAAGTAGAGGTAACTGTCAAACAAACAGAAAACACACAAGTGTTTGAATGAACTCATTTAGAGACTTTTCAAACACAGCAATGGAAATCTGAAGCAAAAATGTTTGAAGCTATAAAGCTGTGAGTGAAGTACTCTAGAGTTGTGKAACAAATGATTTATATGGTCTCTTAAAAGCTGAAGAAAATATTAAAAAAATTCACAAATAGCATCTAAATTTGTGTAAGATTTTTAGCTTATTCTTTAAGCACTTACCAAATAAGTTTTAAAAGTACACATCAAAGAAAACAGACACAGATCTATACTTTGTTCAWGCAGTCACACCCAGGGGTACCAACACATTTTACAGGGTCCAGGCAGACTTCGAGGGGGCCAGCCTTGTAATAATATTACAGCAACAACAACAGTGACGAATGTGTGTTAAAAGCTTTATAAAAAAAAATCTGGAACTGGTGGGAGAGAAATTGATCACGCAAATATTCTGGAGCAACTAGAAAGTGAGGTTATTGACGTGAGACTGGTGAGTTTAACAAACTCAGAGGCTGTGTCCAAATTCAGGGGCTGGGTTCTTCGAAGGATTCGGCCTACCCGGTGTAGGTGGGACGAGTCCTTGGTCGACCGTGAAGACCGGAAAAAAGTGGCTGTGAATTTGAACGGTTTAGTCTTCTGCTTTACTCCCATCCTTACCCTGGCGTGTGCCTTGTCACCAGATTTTTATTTAAAACTGTATTCCTTTGTTTTGGTTTGTTCACCATTATGAGCAAAAAAAAAAATCTCTGGTCGGCCTGCAATGCATTATGGGATATTGTGGGCCAACAAGGACCCATCGGACCTGTCCTTCAAATAAGGGAAAAGGGTGAATTTGTTGGTCGCATTGGAGGAGTCTTTGACTTTGGACAGCCTCAGGCGTGGKGCTGGGACGTAAGCAGCCAATGAATTTGGCCTTCAGAGGACCCAGCCCCTGAATTTGGACACAGCCAAAGTTTCACTAACCTTTTATGAATCAGCTGCTCATCTTCTGAACGTGTAAACCTTTATCCCATGAAATTCTCAGGATGGTTGCTCTGCATCATTGGTTGACCTGATGGATAGAGCTTCATCAGAGCTAAACAACAAAACAAATCTGAAGCTTCTATGTTGAACAGTTTCTGAGTTATAAGTGTTTTTGCATGTCCTGACACCCCCACTTTGAAAGGAGCCCCCTCCTCAAATATGTGGTCTATCGTAAAACCGTTGGCTGGCGCAGTGTAGGTCAGACTCATGTTGATCGGTGCAGCCATTTTTGTGCTACGGTTGACCAAAAATCTCCGGAGGAAAAAAAAAACAGTACGAAAACAATATGACTCYGGCTTACGCTTCGCGTATAATAAATAAATAAAAATAAATAAACTGTACGACTGTAAACCGTACGCTTCGCGTGCGGGGTCATAATMAGAATAAGAATTACTGTACCGGACTATCAAGATGAAATTAGATAGAAATGAAAATGAAACCATGACACTGCAGAAAAATATGAAATTACAGGAAAAAAAACAGTCATGTCAGACTCATGATCTGAGGGGGTGTGCAAATTGAGTCAAACTCACTCGTTAAGTCAGTGTTCCAGTACAGGAAAAAACATGGACAATTGCCACTGGTTATTATTTTATTATAATTGAGGCAAATTGGTAAATTWAAATGTTACAAACTTGATTAAATATTTCTTTTTTAAGTCTAATAGTTTTGTTTGGTTTTAATAGGACATGTAGGAACATAATACCATCAATACATTTCCCACCCCATATGAGAAAAAATTAAGGAATACTGCATGATGGAGTGCAAAATGAATGAAAAGAGATGTAAACATAGAAGAGAAACACTGTTTTTTAATAAATGCACCATAAATAAAAACCAAATTCAGTACAACAGATGCTCATGCCTTGTCTGCCGACTTTGGTCTTGTTGCAGTCCTGATTCAACACGGTGGCTTCTGAGATGGAAGGGTGAAGTGTGTGTCTGTGGGGGGRCCTGACAGGTGATGGATCCTCCAGGAAATAGTCCCCCCCCCCACTCCCCCAAGCAGCACGCCATCAGCCCCGATGAGAGGACTGTCTCCTCCCCACCATGTACATGTAGACATCAGAACAGACTGCAACTCATGAATCTGTAAACCCTCAGCCCTGTCCCTTTAGACAAACAACTGTGACTCAGCCCGGACCCCCCGTCCTGACCTGGACCAGCTCTCCCACCTCTTCGGCAACAGAAAACGCGCTGGATGATTCAGCTTTGATTCGAACATGTTTCAGCTCGTTTGAGCCGGTGAGCTCAGCTTCTCAGAAATGATTTCTTCCTGTTTTAAAGGTCCCAAATATCTGAAGTGTGTTTGCCCATTGTTCTCACCTCCCCGCTGGGACATWTACACTTTAATCAACTTATTAGCTTTTTACATTTTTATCTGTAGAGAATCTAATTTATGTTCAGTGTTTGCCTGTTTATCAGTAATATTAGATAATAATCTGCATGAATACGTAATAAGAACAGAAGGAACGAAAAGAAACACAAACTATACACCCATGTTCCTTTAGACGCCTCGTGAGAAAATGCAAAGGGTAAAAAGAAGTACTGGACCAGTGCTAATGTCCACAGAAACTTTACTGAGCTGGTATAACTGGTCCCAGTAAACCAATCTTATTTTTGTCATCCTGTGTCACTGGGGCTGCAGACRCAAACAGATATGCTGGTCACAAGATTTGGGCAGAGTGGCAGATAGATGATCATGAATATGAAATCATCTTGAGGGCTTTTTWAAAAAAACTAGATTCTGTCAACTGGGTTTTACACATTTAATGGTGTTTGTTTTCTACTTTTTAATCATTTGATTTAATCAACAACAAAAAAAGGGTTTTTAATCTATTTTTGGACATTTCAGTCTTCGTTTSMAAWWWTKKTTYCMWTKKTTTTTTACCTGCGTTGATTGCTGTGTGACGCTGGAGTTGATTTAGTGAACTGGAGATTCCAACAAGAGCTATGATGGTCAGCTGTAAAAGTGGATTTAGTTACTACATTGTAAATGAGATAAACTCGTAATCAGCGTCTTAGCTGTTGGTTGAACTTGATATATCGTTTTCCAAACACATGGATGGATTCAGACCTAACTGCAGGCATTATTTGGTGTCTTTGTTTACGTCTTGAAATATCCAGGTAAGCTAAAGAAACACTTCTCACTTAAAGTCATTTTATGTCCCGAGGATGAACACTAAAGGAATATGTTTTCATAATGTCCACTTGAAACATTTGAGATGTTTAGGCTAACTCTCTAATGTTAGATTAGATGAGTTAACTCTTTAGTGGGTAGAATCCACTAAGGCTATGTTCACTCTGCAGGTGAAAGGCTCCCAAACCCACAGTCTGAACATGACAATACTAGTTTTTTTATTTTTGTTTTCAAATCCAAACCAGGTCACTTAAATAAGTGGTACTAAAATCAGATASTGGATATTGGGTCGTTTTCAAAGCACCCTCCATCTGAACGGTCATTTCATCTTACGTTAATGAATAATGGGTATGAGGATGGATTTAAGTAAGTAAGTAAGTAAACTTTATTTCTATAGCACCTTTCACAGACACAAACATCACAAAGTGCTTCACAGAAAGCAATAAATAAAAATAATTAAAAATTTAAATGTTAATAAAACTTCATTAAGGTTACAGTTAGAGGGTTAGCTCACATCCATCCTAGTATGATAGGGTTGACGCTTGAGTTTGTTTCTACTTTCAGTACTTTGCTCCCAACCCTAAAGCAGAATTCTGCCCTGGAGTAGGAAGCATCAGGATCAAATGTAAAAACAAGCATGTAATAATAATAATTATTATAATTAGCTGTGAGGGCTCAACAACTTTAGAATGGATCCAAACACAGCATGCTATATGTGATGTCATGTCGTCTGCACACGTGGGACTGTTCACACTGGAATCTGATGAAAGAATTAAATTATAACGCAAACAACTGTGCAATATTTAAAATTAAGCGTTAAGGCCCTGCAGTGTGAACATAGCTAAAGCTTATTCAAAGAAAAACAAAGAAAACAGAGCCCAGCAATGATTTGGATGCCCAAAGTTCAAATTGAATTCAGAGTAGTTCAGGTAACAATACTTACTTATATGTTTTTTTTTCTTATTTGTTTTCTCCTAAAAGTTCAGACAAAAATGCAGAATTATTACATGGTGCACCACTAGGTGGCGTAAACGTTCACATTAATGATGTCAAAGCATGTTGAGAAAAACAAASTGTGTTTAATGGGTTTACCATAGAAAATGCAAACAACTGAGCATTATGTATTGAAAACAAAATACAATAAGAAGAAGTAAAAGACATGCCATTTTAGAACTCAATTTTCAATTTTGATTTGAGCCAATTTCACAATTGTTTTACAGTAAAAGGTTCAGATAATGGGTTAAATATATTCAACACTGTTTCTAAAAATATTTATTCTATTGGGTTTAAATTATGTTCAAATTTTCTGAGAAACTGAATTTGGGGTTTTTATTAGTTGTCAATTATAATCATCAAAATTAAAAGAAATAACATTTGAAATATGTCATTCTGTGTGTAATGAATGAATATAAGGTCGTATTCAGACCTGATMATTTGCTCCGTTTTAAACGAACCAGAGTTCGTTTCCAGCGTTGGTCCGGACCTTTTGTGCAGGTGTGAATATACTCATGCGAACTCTGGTGCGGATCAAACAACCGGACTGAGACCTGCTTTTT